ATTTAAGGGGCACATCTTTCTGTGTGTTTCGAAATTGTGGCGGATTTTGCATGTGGGTATCAGGAGCACACGATATCCGAAGAGGTGGCACGTTTGCGCCTACGTGCAGGCAACCGGGCTTGATATTTAACTCACGAGATAAAACAATTTCTGGAGGATCCTAATATAAAGATACAATTTTGTTATGGAGTCGCAGTGTAGCCTGTGTCGTGGAAAACAATCCTTGCCTAGTGTACGAATGGTCAAATTACTTTTGCTTAATAAAAGTAGTGAAATCTTTTGCAAAGAAGGTGGCTAAAGCTATCTACACCATAACGTTCAAGTTCGTAGCAAAGAAGTTTCTAAAAGGTATTAGGTACAATTATTATTTTAATAAACAACGCAATTGTAGTTTTGGGTAGGTTACTCAAGTAACGTTTAATATATTTAGAAAATCTTGTGAAATAATTATGTTTGCATCTCTTCACATGCAAGCTTAAATACTGACAATAATTCACAATAATTTTGCCATAACGCCATGAAAAATATCATTCTTCACAAAACAGTTGGTTTTCGACAATGTCGAGTTCTTTCGCCATCGTATAAACACGATCTACGTAAATATGCCGCACATCATCGTATGAATAAATATTGTATAAATAAGTATAAATACAACAATACAAATTAGAATACAAACTTCTACGAAGAACGAGTTTGATCTATTTATTATTTGGTGTCCCAACGAGAAGACTTAATCAGGAGAATTACGAACAATTTTCCAATTTGATGCATTTCTTATGTATCTAATGTCTGTTAACGTGTCTATAGACGTAATTCGACAATTATGCTCTGTCTTAGCTCTTTTAGAACATAATATCTTCTCTTTTTCAGTCTTCCGTTTAGGACGATGCTTTCTAAGGCTTATTAATTCATATTAGTCGTCCTCTGAATCGGGAAATTCATATACCCCATATTCATATTCCTTTCGAACCCATTTCTTTGACTGTCTGTTTATGGATCCACGAATAACCTTCGTATGGGAAGGTATTTTTAAGTCTTGCCATAACTTCTCAAGCGGTTCTGCTGCGGAATCTAAGCGAAAACGAAATGAATTCGTTAGTGTCTAACGAGGGAAAGGGGAAGGGGGAGTACTGGGCGATGTCGGCGTATTATACGAACAGTTCTGGGAAGGAGAAGGAATAACAAAAAGACGTCGATTCGTAAAAATATTATTCAATTTTAGTGAGATTGTAACGCTAGACTACTTACTCGCGTGATTTTGTTTCTTTTCCTCGCTGTTAGGTAGGGAAATTTTACAATACATTTCCTTATCTTTGGGATGATTTCTCATGTAATTATCCCAGAAGATATTGCTCAACGTTGTGGGCCATTTTGAACCTATCAACCACTCCGTACGTTTAGATTTCGGGCTCACTGGTTTTTTCGGTTGTCTACCTGGATATTTCCTTCTTCCGTCTTCTCTCCCTAATATTATTATTATTATCGTGATCAATCATTCGTCGCAACTCCGTTACTAATATCGTTAATATTCAAGGGAGGTTAATAATTACTCAATACGAAGTCTTCGTCCTCGTCGTCTGTGTCGCCAATACGCAAAGGATGGTGTGATGCCGTTGGAAGGTCGACCTCGACACCGATCTTTTCCAACTCTTCATCTTCCCTATGACGAGGTTCGAGAAGCGACGTGTTCAATTGATCATCCACAACGTGATACGCTTCTCGGACGCATTCTGGCTCTGACAGGTCTTTGAATAAGACGTTATCCGAGCTGGGAGAGTCTTGCTGGACATAACTCGCCTGTTCCGATTCCGTGACCCAGTCGCTATCATAGTTTATTGGGGAAATAGCCTTTTTACTTTTCGACCTGCGGGATGGGAAATATTTTAATGAAAAAATTCAACAATATCGAACACGTAAAAACAGTACTAGATAAATCTTTTAAATCAAAACTTCATTCATTATGAGATGACCTAATAAAATCGGTCCACCATAACGATAGTTACCTTTTGTTTTCCTTTTCGGTTTCCAGGTCCACTTTTGCTCTTTTCCGTTGTTTGATCCGCCTTTTCTGAGGACTAATTTCACTTTCCAACACTTTCCTTTTCCTAACGCCATCCGACGAGGAATTCGTGTCGATCCCGGATATGCTTATGCTGCTAAGTCTTGGTTTACCTGTTTTCATTGGTGTGCTACACAAATTAAACTCTTTTCTGCCCATTGCACGTCTTCTCGAGGGCATCTTGTAGCAGTATTCGCAATTTTACTATTTCTAATTTCTCTCTGTATTTATGGTTGACGAGATTGAGTTTATAGCAGGTACTTTGTAACTTTATTTGACTTTGCTGCGCACATTACGTCTACGTGTATTCGAGTCCCACGAGATATTGTCGAACGAAAGCAAAGCCATCGAACGTCTTTGAAATTTGTCAGGTAAATATACCGCGTAGAAGATGTTTTCATACTTTTTTTTTTGTTTTTGTTATTGTTAAACTCCAAGTTTACATAGAAGAAAGCTTACACAGCTATTACTTATAAGAACTTGTATGTATAAATAGAACTAGATTACGGAACAAGATATGTTTGGAGCAAAATTAAATCTTAAGGTTACATGAATGAAGAAATTTACAAATGATGGAGCAGATGCATTCTATTGCACATAACTCTATAACAACAACAACAACAACAACAACAACGACCTTTCATAAATAAAACTATTAGGTAAAAATCGGATAAAAATCGGGTAAAAATTACTGATATGAACAGAGAGAAAAGATTCAGTAAAACTATTGGGTAACAATTTAAAAACTGGACGTTACGCTTCAACGGACTTCACTCAACTTCACGCGGCTCCATAATCTCCATTCTTTATCGGTCTAGGGACAAAAGACATGAAACGCATGATAAGTTGATAACAATAGGCGTGGCACGCAAATAAACGGTTCCAAAGTATTGCAAATCGATTTCTCATTTATTCATTCCTCTTCACTTGCTAGATATACAATAGAACATATTGTGCGTATGCGTGGGAGGGGCCAGTGTACAGGTGCTACTTGGAAATTTCCTGTCCGAGTAATACTGTGTTTGTTGATATGCTGCGGCTATCTGCAATAATAACGGAAAAATGAAATATATGTGCGTGTAATCGAACACCAATCTCACCGAACTTATCCTCATCCGCGACCCGACCGATAACGAGGTTCGTTGCATCGACTCGATTCATGCTGATACGTCCTATCGAATTTTTCAGTTTTTTTCGTCCGATAACGTTAAGTCACGATGGCGCACACGCAACGAACGATTCGAATACTTTTCTCGTAACTTGAAAGGACACGGATAGAGCCGGTATTTCTCCGATCGACGACTCGTTGATCTTTTTCGCAAAGGCGCGTCATCTATAGGATAATCTTCGTTGAGAGGCTCGAATATCACCACCAATCGTCCCAAATCCATGACCTTTTTTAAAACTAGGTACTCGCGCGAAATCCCGAGATTCACTGTTACGTCCCAACTATGTTTGGGACTTTCTTGTAGGGATTCTTATCCTCACTTAAAGAGCTAAAGCTCACCTTATCTGTACTTTACTAGGGAAAGAAAGGAATTCTGGGATTCGATAAAGATTGTTACTAAATTTTAGATATTAACAAATATAATTATTAAACAAAAACTGAGTTTGGGATTACATACAAATAAGAATATAAATTATACGATTGAAAATGGATTTTTAACAATATCAAACGTTGATCTTATGCTATCGGCGGTGTTGTCAGGTTATCCCGAGCTCGGCTGTGGCGAGGATCTGGTCTGGTTGTAACACTCGCGACACGGAACTCTAACCCCGGGTCCACACTGTGGCGAACGTTGGTCGCGTACATCATTCGTGAAAATGGTAGCTAACCCTGTTATTCACCGGTTTTCGCCGTAGTGTGGACGGGAAATAGCAGAGTTCGCTAACAAATGACCCTCTTAATAGGCGTAAAGTAGCCCCGCTGGGTTAGGCGAAAGCTGTGTTCGCGAACCAAATTCAGCGATCCACGAGGTGGTGGATCCGGCGAACACATTCGCAAATAACAGCGCCTTTTTCCTCGTTCTTGTCCCTTTTCGAACCCTCGGAGCTTGGGCATTGCTATTCTTTCCATCTGTGGGGCTGATCTTCATGACCATTCGCAGGTAGGTACATACTCCAAAGGGATACTATGCGTGACCGAAGTTAACATTATTTTCTTATTACTCATCCAAGTTTGTATATTTTTTGTTGTATCTTGATGAAAGTATATGCAATATATTGGCGAGATCAATCGCGAATGCAATTCAGACAACTTTAAGTTTCGTTTACAATATGCAATATTTGTATAATATTAATACTTGATTTTGTGAGCCAGTAACCGATTAGAAAGTCTGTTCGAAAATAGGAAACAGATTGTAAAATTCTTGCCAGGAGATAATTAGGGCCTATGGAAGAACTAGGTAACTTTTGTAGCTATGTGAACCTCATACCCGACTTTTATGGAAAATAATAGCATTTCATTTGTACTTGATTGTACCATCGATAGTTTCGTTTGTACCTTCATTAATGGGTAGTATGAACAAGTGTTAATATTATAAAAAAAAAATACCTATTACTTATCATAAGCGAAATTCAAAATTGTCTGAATTGCGTCGTGTTTGATATTATTTTTATCAGAAAAATCTCGCCAATATATTGCATATATTTTCATCAAGATACAACAAAAAAAAGCATAAAAACTTGGATGAATATTAAGGAACTAATATTAACGCGGGTGGTCGTAAACGGTCGTTTGCTTTCGAGCATTTCCAACCATGGAGGAGATGCGGATCGCCCGAATCCACAAAATAACATCAGTTTCACAGGAGTACGAATGTATCTATGTTTCTTGTTTGTGTTCGCGCAATGTGGATCCGGGGTAATAATTGGCGAATATTAAACGTCGGACCTTCGTAGGTAACTCCGCGATGACTCTATCTTTAGTGCGTATGTTCTCACTTACGCCAACTGTTTCCTCAGCTGGAGATACGATACACGATACCTAAATGAGACTAACGCGAGAAATTAACCCGTCCGCGACTACAGAACAACGACTGCCAAAATAAGACTACACAAAAGCCGTCCGCGGTTGTGACCACGGGTTTATATACCCCTCAGATCCTCGGCTGGCGCGATCGTAATTTCGAAATCTTAATTTCTACATTTCCGAATGTAGGGACCTGACAGGTCCTACCCCCGCCGCGCGCCGCTACCTCGTGACTACCCTTTCCAATCACAGCGCGTGATCCCAGGCCCAAAACGGGTATAAAAAGGGCGCGGTACGACAAATCGTCAGAATTCCAAGAATTACCAAAGCTTGACCTAGACTGCTCCCTTGTGCGGACAGACTAGGAAAAAGCGGCTCTGAAGGTTATAGCTAATTCGCTCCCTTGTATGGACGGGGTTAGACCAAAGAGTACTCGGGAAACTTGGACCACGGTAAAGTTATCGCGCCGCGATTTGCTAATTATTCCTTTTACTTTACCTCTTGTATTTATTCAGAATATACAGTTGTTATTTTATCCAAACGTCAGTTTATCTAAGAAATTCCTAAATCCAGCAACCTTCCCACGACACTAAAGTAGCCATTCCATCACCAAGGAGGTTATACAGGACGCTTTAATTATTCAACGGGGCGGTGTTAGTTATGGATACTATGAAAATGGGTTTATTATTGGCATTGGTGGTATATCGTTTAAAGTTATCGAAAATTCCGTATATCATGAGGGACACATCATCCTTCAAATTTCGAACATGAAATTGAAGATGACCTCTACCGGAAAGACCGTGGTCGAAATCGTACGTATCGAAAGATCCAAGATCATATTTACCGGAGATCTAAATTCTCTATACTCAGGCAAAAGAAGGAATTCCTGGTGCTGACGGACCGACGACAGGGCAACAACGGCAAATCGATGTTTCTCAAGTTTCTGCACGTGTTTTTCGGTGAGGCGTATTACGCGAGATCGATCAAATTTCTAATAATGGAGTCGCGAAACGAACGAAACTCTCACGCCGACGCCGACGCCGACGCCGACGCCGACGCCGGCCTCGAGAGCATGAACGGCAAACGATTGCTGGTGGCCGACGAGTTTACTGCGGCCGCGTGTCTGGACACGGCGATAATCAAATACAGTCAACCCTCCTATAACGCGGTACTCTCAGAACGCAGTTTCCATATACCGCGGAGCTGAAAATGCGACAGCCCTCCTATAACGCGGCATTCTTACAGCGCGGTTTCCGTCAACAGCATCCCATAAGTTCCTTCCGCGTAGCCTAAGAATGTTTGGCCTATGTTTAGTTCATTAGGGCCTATTTGAATTATAAGGGAGCAGATGGCGCCAGTTTCATGTAGGTTCAGGCAGTCGGATCGCGACATAGTAACTAGATATGTTTATATAAAGATTATCTCCGGCTTATCTGATAGCCGTCTACGACATCGGTTTTAGTCTTCTCAGAGCTCTTTCACAGTGTTCGTTTTGTTGGTTACCAAGTCTTTCTAAAAATTTTTCTGCACCGTCCGTTCGTTCAGCTTTTTGCTGCTTAATTTGTGGTTTATAATTGGACAACATTACACAATACTGTAAGTATTCTTCATTTGTTCTAATATAATAATAATAAAGTTATTTTTAACCCTAGATTTGCATCATGTCAAACACGAAAGAAACAAGGAAAGGGTTAAAAAGAAAGTTTGTATCTCTTGAATCGAAATTCTAAATCGTTTAGAAGGTGGGGAAAATCTATTGTCGGTTGCAAAATCAACCAAGTTGAATGAATCTACAATTCGAACCCTAAAGAAAAATGCAGACAATATAAGGAAAACTGTGGCAGATGGCTGTCCGTTAGGTGCGAAACGTGTCACTCGCACACGAAATTCTAATATGGTTAAAATGGAACGGGCGTTAATGATCTGGTTGGAAGACTGTACAGCAAAAAAGATTCCTATCAGTGGAAATCTTATCAAGCAGAAAGCACTTAAAATCTATGAACATTTAAGGAATATTGGACATTCTTCTGCAGAGCTGGAAAATCATTCGTTTGTCGCGAGTAAAGGGTGGTTTGAAAAACTAAAAAAAAGGTACTCATTACACAATATTAAGTTTCAAGGAGAACAGGCCTCAGCAGATGCTGAGGCTGCCGAGAATTATAAGCTGGAATTAGCTAGAATTATCAATGAAGGAGGCTATTCACCTCATCAGATTTTTAACGCCGATGAGACGGCATTATATTGGAAAAAACTACCATCTAGGACCTTCATTTTGAAAAATCAAAGGCGTGCTCAGGGGTTTAAACCTTCAAAGGAACGTGTCACCCTTTATATGTGCAGCAATCTATCAGGGAGCCTGATGATAAAACCTATGATAATAAATCGTTCTTCAACTCCCCGTGTTATGAAAAACATTAATAAGACCGAATTGCCTGTATTCTGGCGATCTAATAAGAAAGTTTTATAATTGTTTTATCCCGGCAGTGGAAACCCATACGATGTAAAAAAATTTGTATTTCAAAGTTTTATTGGTTCTTGATAACACTGGTTGCCACAACATACAACTGGATCATTCAAATGTAAAAATTGTCTTCCTTCCTCCTAACTGCACGTCATTAATACAACCTTTGGACCAAGGAGTCATT